ACAAGAGATAGAGAAAATAAACTTTATTAAAAGAAGGTTTTAAAATATGGACTTTTTTTAATTTTAAATGTTGGAACACTGACGATCAACCTTGAAAAAGCTAACACAGAATGCTATCCTGATTAAGGCATCCAGCAAATAGAAATGAATAGGAAAAAAGCAAGAATTCAACAGAATACATAGACATAAAAATAAATTTTGTTTTTATTCTTAAAAGCTTTATTTTTTTAGGAGAAGTAAAAAAGTTTAGAAAAACTGAACCATAGCACAGATTTCTTGAAAGTTTGCTTTAAACTGACACAAAAATGCAAGATTCTAAAATTATGTAGTGAAAGTAAATAGGCAGAGAGGGATGGCCTAGGAGAATTAGCCTTTTCCTAAGGGACATGGTGGCTCAGTGGCTAAGACACTGAGCTTGTCAATCAGAAACGGCAGTTCGGCATTTTGATTCCCTAGCATCGCATAACGGAGTGAGCTCTCATTACTTGTCCCAGCTTTTGCCAACCTAGCAGTTCGAAAGCATGTAAAAATGCAAGTAGAAAAATAGGGACCACTTTGTTGGGAAGGTAACAGCATTCTATGCTCCCTTGGCATTTAGTCATGCTGGCCACATGACCATGGAGACATCTTCAGACAGCGCTGCCTCTTCGGCCTTGTAACAGAGATGAGCACTGCCCCCTAGAGCTGGAAATGACTAGCATGTATGTGCGAGGGGAGCCTTTACTTATGGCATAAATTGAGCAACTTTCTCATGTAAAGAAAAAAAAATATGGTGGAAAATACTGAGTTAGAATATGGAAGAAAAGGCTATCGCTCATTCTTTAGTTTTAACCCTCCTTTTCTCCATTTTTTCTCTCCACAAAAATGCCACATGAAAAGGAAGGAGGAGGAGGAGGAAGAAGAAAGCTGTTTATGTTGTTCAACAGTCTCCTCCAGCTTTGTCCTGGTTTCTCTTATTCAACATCTTCTAAAATAATCTCCATATCTTCAAGTTATTTTCTTAGAGCTCTCCTTATAACTTATATCTTATAACTAACATATATAATTGAGCAGTATGGCAAGTATTCCTTTTGGTTTAACTTGTCGAATGGGTTAACTAATTCATGATCTGTTGGATTTAGTTTGCTGGGCTGCAGTTGGCAATTAATTAAAATTGGGAATTTGCTACCACGAGACGTGGTCCTGGTACTACCTAGGCTGGTTTCAGAAAAGGGCGGACCAATTCATGGAAGTCATAGGAACCAGTTGGTTATTAGCCTGGATGGAAGTGGAACTTTCTCTGAAGGACATCTGCTGAAAGACTAATGGGTTTCTTGCAGTTAGTTGGCCTCTGTAAGAACAGATTCCAGGAATAGATGGACCAGAGTAGGCTACAAAGAACTCTGTTCAAGTTCTTAACTAGTAGTAAAGATAAAGGTTTCCCTATCTAGTCATGTCTGATTGTAGGGGATGGTACTCATCTTTGTTTCTTGGCCTAGGAAGCCAGTGTTGTCTGAAAACATTTCCGTGGTCATGTGGCTAGGGTGTCAATATAGCAAAGGTACACAGAATGCTGTTATGTTCCCACCAAAGTGGTACTTATCAATCTGCCTGTGTTTGCATGCTTAGTGAGCAGGAGCTGGGGCAAGCAACAGGAACTCACCTCATTGTGTGGTGCTTGGGTGTCAAACCTGGACTGTCAGCTTCCCAGTGGAGAGTTCAGTGCCTTAAACCAGTGGTCACCAACCAGTGGGCTGGGGACCACTGGTAGTCCATAGGAAAATTTTGGTGGTCCATAGGGAAATGTCACCTGCAAAGCAATTAATCCAGGTTGTGCAGGAACACAAAGCTGCACTGCCCACATGGCCCATGGGAACACAAGACTTGCATCGCTTGCATTGTGAACAACATGAGGTAGTGAGGGGAGGGGGGGGAAGGGCGGAAAGGGTGAAAAGGGGGAACTTGCCCCGCTCACCCCACGCGCCTGGCCTGGCCACCGGGCTGCTTCTTTCTTCTTCTTTCTTCTTATGCTCTTGGCTGCATGCAAGGAAAGCAGCAAAAGTCTTTCTTTCTCTCCACCAAATTCTGCCAGAAATGAATCTTTGGGACCCTGCAAGGCATTCTGCTCCAAGAGGCTGTGCCATTCTGGCGGAGTTTGGGAGAGAGAAAGAAAAACTTCTGCTGCTTCTGCTGTTTTCCTTGCATGAAGCCAAAAGTCTCTCTCTCTCCCCATGAGAACAGAGCTGGAGTGGTATCCTGTGATCCCAAATAAAGAACAATCGATCGGTAGGAAAACAGGTTGGGGAATTTTCCTGCAGACTTTTTGGGGGATTTTCCCATGATCTCTGGTCTGTGGGATTTAAAATTATGAGTTTGGTGGTCCCTGAGGTCCAAAAGGTTGGCAACCCCTGCCTTAAACTGCTGAGCCAACATGGCCCCTTCTTAACTGGTGCACAGGCCACAACATCCATGTTCTGAGCTTGCAATATCAAGATGTAGTTAAGAACACCACCTTTTGGACCTATTGAAGCTCCTGAATAGTGCTAAAAAGCAACCCCACATAAAATGTGTTATGTCTGGGCGGTGGGTCCCAAGGAGAGAGCAGACTCATGGTAGTGAACAAACAGCTCTTTATTAGCAATCAGATACTGAGACAAAAACCCCTAGCCAAGGCTGCTCTTTTTATAGAGCTGGTCCCGGCTAGGCAGCCAATGACAGGTTTTAAGCTTGCCGCGCTTGGTATTAGCCAATCGCGGCAAGCTCTATATGAGCTAATCAGAGAGTACCATATCGTCCAATCAGGGCCCGGCTTTTCCGGACCAATAGGAACGCAGGCTTTCAAGCCTGCTAGTACGGAACAAAATGTATTGTAGAAATCCACTGGATAGTAATTAAAGTGTGAGTTACTCTGACTACGTCCTCCTGCCATCCTGTTGTTTTCTTGGTGTTAGTACCAGTTTATAAAGCCTTAGTAAGACCATATCTGGAATATGCTTCGAGTTTTGGTCACTACATTACAAAAAAGATGTTGAGACTTTGGAAGAAGTTCAGAAAAGAGCAACTAAGATGATTAAAGGCCTGGATACTAAAAAAATGATTAAAGGCCTAGATATGGAGAACGTTTGCAGGATTTGGATTTGGATTTGGCTGGTCTAGAGAAAAGAAGGACTAGTGGGGACATGATAGCAGTATTCCAGTATTTGAGAGGTTGCCACATAGAGGAGGGGTTCAGTTTATTTTTCCAAAGCACCAGCAGGCAGGACAAGAAACAATGAATGGGAACTAATCAACCAGAGAAGCAACCTGGAATTAAAGAGAAACTTCCAAACAGTGAGGATAATTAACCAATGTAAAAATTTGCCTTCAAAAGTTGTGGGTGCTGTATCACTGGAGGTTTCTAAGGAGAGACTGGACAGTCACTTGCCTGAAATGGCATAGGATCTCCTGCTTGAGCAGGGGGGCTGGACTAGAAGATCTCCAAGGTCCCTTCCAGCTCTATTCTGGTCTGCAGTGGTCAGGATTCTCAGCCAAAAGGACTCATGCATCTGACCACATCTATTTCTAAACCAATGAAAAAAAATCCCAGGTTCACTTTCTCTTCATCGCTCTCTGTGGACAAGTCCCTCTTGAGACCTTAAATAATGGAAATGCTATGTCAGGTTTCTTTTACTGTTGAACTCCTCATAATGGAGAAGTTGGGTGGATTTGGAGAGTAATCTTCCAAATCAGGTAAGGTTTACATGAGTGTTTTTCTACTAACTAACCTCCTTATGTTCTAATCAATAAATCCAATTGTCCAACCATCTCTGAATCATAAAAATATACTGTAGAACTGTGGATGGACTTGCTAATTAACACAACTCTCTAACCTATTAATTTTCCTTCTAGAGCTGAAGAAGGAATCCTCTTCATCCTTGATTTAAAGGAAGTTTAGGAGAAAGAATAGAGAGGAAAAGCAAACTTTGGTATATCAGCATTGCACTTGTTGATAAACTTGAAAAATGCATGTAGATCTAAAGTTATATACAACAAAGTTATAGTTTAATAAGTTTAATTCATCTGAAGAAGGTCTGGTTACATGGCCATTAGAGGTCAACAATGACTTGATGGCAGATAATCAGCATGTCTATATCAAAGACATTTGAACATAGGATGTATGATGTTACCTGTGTGTTTCTGCATGTAAAATGATTAATACCTCTTCTTTGCTATTCTTCTCTAATTTCCTTATGCCCCAGTTCTGGACAGATGAAATTAGTATGACAGATGCCATCCTGGGATGTCTCCACATTTGGGGTAAGGAATTCTGATTTTACAAACTTTAAGGACTATTTCAGAAACAATCCTGATTCTTCAAACAGAGATGTTGGACTATATTTCATGGTTCTAAATTGGTGGGATGTATTGCAAGCTGTAATCTGATGGACAATAATGGGTCAGGGGAAGCTAACTTGATAGAATGTTCTTTGGTAACATTGCAGTGACAGTTAGGAAATGAATTTGGGAACTCCCTAGAAAATTTGGGTGATGGGACAACTATTATAGGAAATTACCAGAAGAAGGTCAATAAAGATGATTCAGGAACCAATTTCTATGAGGCAGAAGGACCTGGCCATGTTTAGCCTGGACAAATGGTGTCTAAGGGACTATATGATAACACTCTTCAAGTATCTAAAAGATTCATATTTGTTCTCTCTTGTTTCACAACACAGGACTTAAGAGTGACACATTTAAGTCCCAGAAAGGTAGTTTGGATTAAATTTTAGGGAAGGAAATAGTAATGGTAAGAGCAATTCAGTAGTGGAAACAATTATTCTGAGATGATGGGCTGTCATTCATTGGAGATGCTCAAGAAATTATCAGCATTCCTCTACTGGGATGCATAATTTGGATTCCTGAACTGAGCAGAAATTGGTCTATGTGATGTTGTAATCCGGTAAACTTAGTTATTTGATGTTAAATAGGTTTAGCATTGATGGAATAGTCCTAAAATATTTTTTTTACAAAGTATTTGGGATAGGATGGAAAAATCTGTAAGTCTTGAATAGATGGAATAGATCAATGTTCATTTTTGGGGAATGGTTATTCAGTTTTGATTAGCATAAGCCAGCTTCATAGGGAAGTTATAAGAATAAATGGTAATGGAACCATGATTTATGACCCCTGTGGGTTTCCTGAAAAGAGAAAAAGAAAGTTGGGGAGATGAAAAGTAAATTTAAAAAAAAATCATGAAAGCAACCCCCCGCCCCAAAAAAAAAGCTTAGAGGTGAAGCAATGGAGAAATTCTTCATTCTTAGAAATATGTATGTGCATTCTAAAAGGGTGCTATTTACTAAAATTCCAGTCCCAAACCCAGCTATCACTTTACTTCAGATTTCAGAGGTTAAATTAAACTTATGTTGATAACTCTACAATCATTTAAAATCAAAATATCATAATGTGCCACCATATTTGACAATGTTTATTTTTTTCTCAGAAATAACAAATTAGAGTCTTTTTTATAGCTAAAAATGGTTTCTGTATCGATTATTTAAAGAAAGCATTATTTTAAAATATTTTCCCAATTTTAAGTTACTTCTGCTTGTTTTCTCTTGACCTCTAAGTTCTGTATCACTCTGAATTCAGTTCTATCTTTCTGCTGAAGATATATTCTTCAGTCTTTGCTGTTTTCCTTTTTTAACTCTCCAATTTTTCTTCTTCTTTTTTCACATATTCCTGCCCTGTGGGTACCTGACTGGAACAGAGATATTAAGATCCATAGCAAAAATAGATGTATTGAGTGATGGTTAGTGAATAACCTTGTGTGCAAGCTGAAAGATGTTGCCTATCTGAATTTAGAAGTAGAGAACAGCAACAGAGAACTTTCCGGCCAGTGGACCTTTAGCCATGCTTAATCCATAGTGGTCTTGGACAACCCTTAGATGTGGACTTCAACTCCCAGAATTGGACAATTATTAAGGCAATTACTGAGGATCCTGGCAATTGAAGTCCACATACCCAAAAGCTAAGTTGGGGAAGGGAGCTATGGCACAGTTTATTTCAGACATTGACTGTTTTTGTGATGTGATTCTCATATCAACAGGGGCACAACCCTTTGGACCAAGTCAACCATACCAGAGTGATCACGGGCTTTGTCCTCCTGGGCTTCCCATCCCTTTTGCCCTCATTCCAGCTGCTCCTATGCTCCTTCCTTTCCATTTCCTATGTCTTCACCTTGGTGGGGAACCTCTGCATTGTATGGGCTGTTCTTTTGGACTCCCAACTCAGCCGCCTGCCCATGTATATCCTCTTGGGAAACTTTTCTGGCCTAGAGATATGCTACGTAACCACCACAGTACCCAGCATGCTCTTTGATCTGACCTCTCCACTACCAGATGCCATTTCTTTCCATGGCTGTTTCCTCCAGTTCTACTTTTTCTTTTCTATGGGAACCACAGAAAGCTTCCTTCTCGCTGCAATGGCCTTGGACCGATACTTAGCCATCTGCCACCCATTGCGATACCCAGAGCTCATGTCTCAAAGGTTCTGCTGCATCCTGGCTGCTTCCTGCTGGGCCTCTGGCTTCCTCTGGTTTCTGGCACCCATAATTTTGATTTCGCAGCTCCATTTCTGTGGCTCCAACATCCTTGACCACTTTATCTGCGACCCAGGGCCACTGTTGGCTTCTTCATGCACTCCAGCCCTAGGCACAGAACTGGCCTTCTACAGCCTCAGCTCCACTGCTATTTTCGTCCCCTTCCTCTTCATTGTTTCCTCCTATGCTACTCTCCTCTGGACAGTAATGAGGTTGCCTTCAAGCACTGGGAGATGGAAGGCATTTTCCACTTGTACCTCACATATGCTGGTGGTAAGCCTCTTCTATGGCTCCATCATGGTCACTTATGTAGCACCCGAAGCTTCTGGAGGAAGCAACAAAGTGGTAACACTTTTCTATTCAGTGCTGACCCCTTTGCTCAACCCATTCATCTACAGCTTGAGGAACAAGGAGATGAAAGATGCCATAAAAAGGACACTATTCTAGGAAAATTAGGGACTATGATTCGTGGATGGTTGGTCTAGACCTTGGTCAAGAGATCAGGGCCTTTCCCCTTCTAGTATCTTTTAAATGTAAAGTTACATAATTGTTATTGATTTTCATGTATACAAATAAGCAAAACAATTAGGGACTAGAGTTCAATGAATGTTTATTTATTTATTTGATTTGTCAATTGCTTACAAGATACTAGGCATAAGTATAAATGTGAATAAGAATACAGGAAATAGGTATGAATAAATGGAGACAAAAGGACAGAGATGGTAGGCACGATTGTGCACTTATGTACGCCCCTTACAGATCTCTTAGGAATGGTGTGAGGTCAACAGTGGATAGCTTAAGGTTAAAGGAGTGGGGGTTAGAGGATGTAACAACAAATTCAGGTAGTGCATTCCAGGCATTGACCACTCTGTTGCTGAGTCATACTTTCTGCAATCAAGTTTGGAGCGGTTTACATTCAGTTTCTATCTGTTGTGTGCTCTTGTATTGTTGAAGCTGAAGTAGTCATTGACTGATAGGACATTGTAGCAGATAATTTTGTGTACTACGCTTAAGTTCAACCATAGGGTGGAGTAGTTCAAAGTTGCTCAAGCCCAAAATTTCAAGCCTGGTGATATAGGGTATTCTGTTGCAATCAGAGGAGTGTAGTACTCTTCTTGTGAAATACTTCTAGACTTGCTCAAATGTATTAATGTCCAATATAGTGTGGATTTATTATTAGGTATACAAAGTCATAATGCTTAAATAATAGAAATGTAAATTTTATTTGAGATATTGTTTGGTACAGAACTGTATTTTGTCCATAGTTTCTTTTACTCATAATTTTCACATTCTCCATCTCTTATCTCTTTGCTATCTGGTAAAAAGAAGATTTTACAATGTCCGTCAATAATATTGCTATTAATCAATTACATTGAAGCCAAGCAACCATTGGATATTTATTCTATTTCAGACTGAAAGATTCTAGAATGCCTCGGATATGATCAGCAATCATGTCTTGGTGTCATGCTATGATGAAATTCCTATTCAATGCTAAACAATCATGTATTTTTTTTCTGCTTTGGTGTATTGCATTGTGTTACCTCCATGATTTTCATGGGCCATGGATTATGGGCTAACATGTTGTATATAAAGAAACCATTTTACAATAAACCATGGTTATAAACAATGGCTCCCAATCAAAATGCTCAGTGTTAAATAAAGTGTATAAACTCTAATAATAACTGGCTAATGGGGAAATTATAAAATATACAGATAATCAAAGATAAATATAAATTGTCCAGTTCAATTTATGTTTTGTCTCATGTATATCCATGCATATATACCTTTTTCATTAGGTATAATTAAAATGTCTGAACATTTGCTGTAAGTTTATTTATATGCCACTTTTATTATTTTTATAAATAAGATGGGGAACATATCCAGAACACCTTCCTCCTACTTTTTTCCACAACAACAACATCGTGAGGTGAGTTGGGTTGAGAGAGAGGGACTGGTCCAAAGTCACACAGCTGGTTTTCATGGTTAAGGTGGGTTATAACTCATGGTCTCTAGCCCAGTGCTTTAATCACTAGTTCAATCAGAATAGACCTAGAAGGGACCTTGAGATTTTCTAGTCCAACCCCCTGCTAAGCAAAAGACCCTATACCTGTGATGGTGAACCTATGGCATGTTTGCTACAAGTGGCACACAAAGCCCTCTCTGTGGGGACATGAGCCGTTGCCCCAGCTCAGCTCCACCATGCATAGGCACACTCCTCCCTGCTGTCCATGTGAGCAGGTCTCTGCTGCGCATGCAAGGGGGGGCTGTGGTGCCCTCCCGTGGTCCTTGTTTTGGGCCTAGAGGGCCTCTCTGCAGCCTCCTGGGAGCAAATACGGGAGGCATGTGTGTATGTGTGTGTGTGTGTGTGTGTGTGTGTGTGGTGCCCCCCTAGCCCGTTTTTGCTCCCAGGAGGCTGCATGGAGGCCTACTAGGCCCAAAACAGGTCATGAGGGGTTGGTGCACGCATGCATGGGGGGGAGCACAGAGGTCGTGTGCGCATGCGCAGGGGGCCAGGGCAAATTGGGGTGGTGGTTGTGTGCACATTGCATTGTGGGTGCAGACACTTTCAGCACATGACAACAAAAAGGTTACTCAACACTGCCCTACACCACTTCAGATGTGGCTGTCCAATCACCTTCAGTGATGAAGCACTGATAGCTTCTGGTAGAAAGCTGTTCCACTGGTTAATTGTTCTTACTGTTAGGAAGTTTCTCCTTAATTGCAGGTTGCTTCTCTCCTTGATTAGTTTCCATCCATTGTTCCTTGTCTTGCCTTCTGGTGCTTTGGAAAATATGTTTATTCCCTCCTCTTTGTAGCAACCCATCAAATACTAGAATACTGCTACCTCTCCCCTGTAGTCCTTCTTTTCTCTAGGTTAGCCAAACCCAAATCCTGCAACTGTTCTCCATATGTTTTAGTCTCCAGGCCTCAACCAAATTAGCTTTTGATAGTTCTGGGCAATGTGTTTGCTGCCTTTATGCCTGAGGTATTTATATATATCTTTAAAATAATCTCTTTCCCCCCTTCAAAAAAATTATAAGGAGACTTCTTAGTATTAGATCTTCATACCAAAAAATTTGTGGTGACTCAATGGTTAGAATGCAGTACTGCAGGCTACTTCTGCTGACTGCCTGCAATTTGGCTGTTCAAATCTCACCAGGCATAAGGTTGACTCAGCCTTCTATCTTTCTGAGGACCCAGATTGTTGGGAGCAATATGTTGACTCTGTAAACTGCTTAGAGAGGGCTGTAAAGCACTGTGAAGTGGCTATTACTATTGTTATTATCTTCTGCTTGCAATTTTCCCACTTTCTCAGTTCCTCTTTTCATGAAGAAAAAATAGTTCCACAATATGAATAGCAAGAAAAGTTCAATTCAGAAACCTAAGATATTAGCCATATCTCCTTCTACTCCAGAAACTCAAATTTTGAATCAATCCTCAATACCTAATCATTCAGAAGTAAGAATATTATGGGATGTAAATTGGTGGGGTATAAACAAACCAGAAATCAAACTATATATTTGGTCATGGAAGATACAGAAGAAAATAGTAGAGAGTATTTGTAGATCAGGGTTGTACTATGGAATCTTTGGTGCTTTCTGAGCTTGGTTATTTTCTTGCAGATGTTTCATTACCCAACTAAGTAACATCATCAATGCATTGATGAGGCAGTGATCTAGTATTTAGCCCCTGTTATTGCATGGGCCCAGATTACCTGAGGAACCATCATTGAAAGCATTAAAGACAGCAGACAGAAAATTCCAAGCTAAAAAAAGGCACAAAAGGAAAATGTGAAAAAGGAATATCATTGTCATCATTAATAACAATAGTTTATTTATTCCACAGCAATATAACCAGGCTATATATAAATTCATTTAAAAAAAGGCAAGCATTTTGAAAGACCAATACAATATACAGAATATTTATATAATAGCTGAATATTACACATTCAATTAAAAATATTTTTATACTTACATTAAGTATATATTTTTTGACTTCAAATACACTGTCATTTTCAGAGGTATACAACAATTTAATTAAAACACACATATATAATCTTCAAGTTTTTCCATCCCTTACAGGAAGAGAAAGTAACAGTTAAATGACTGAGAGAAGAGGCATGTATAATAGATTATTTATCAGTAGTTCTCCCTCTTTCAGACATAACACAACAAGGTAAAGCCCCCTTCCCCAAAAAGAAGATAATCAGGGGTTTTATAAAAAGCATTAAGGAATCTTGGTCATTAGACTTTCTATAGTGTGGCTATAGACCAACATGAAATGGAAACCAGTTCTGAAAAAAGGAAGGTTGGTTAAAAACCTAAAGAAATACACTTTTAATCTCCAAGTAAGGTTTTGCATTGCATTAGACCATGGGTGTCAAACTTGCCGCATCATGTTGCCATCATGTGACATTTTGTGATGTTTTCCCCTTTTGCAGAGCTGGAGTGGGCATGACCTGTGCATGACATATCCGGCCTCTGAGTTGCCAGTTTGACACCCCTGCATTAGACCATGCTAAATACCTCACGAAAATATTAATGTCATTTATTTATTAATTTTTATGCTGCACATCTCTCCTACAAGGTGACTCTGGTGGCTTACAAGTTATAAAAAAAGTAAAACATAATTAGAATGTTAAAACATTAAAAGTACACATTATAAAGGTAAAGATAAAGTTTTCCCCTTTGCAGTCATATCCAGGCACTAGTATGGGAGTGTGACTATTTTACCTTGGCTCTGTCTTGTATTTTTCCACAAAAAGA